ATCATCTCAGAGAATTAGCCTTGCAATTGAATTGATTGCTGTTGTTTCTAATTTTCTTGGCCTGTCTGATTTGGCTGTCAATTAGGGTCCATTTTTTGCAATTTCTTCAGTGAAACCAGGAGGTATACCATTTAGATCTTCGATTTCAGTTCAGTTATATTCTCTTGGATACTGATCCTAGGATGTTGACTTTAAATTTAATTTATAAGACTACATTATTTATTATTAAATCCAACTCTTGAAATTATTATTGATCACTTTATAATAAAGTAACTTTGCAACTTTCTCATTGTCTTTGTAGATTCATTTATTGGCATTTGCCAAGCATCTTCCAGGAAATTTCTGGCTACAATTTGTACAAGTTCTCTCTCATCTTCTCCTTGGCCGACTCGCTTTTAATCATCTCACAGAATTAGCTCTGCAGTTAAACTTATTTGCTACTATTGCTAATTTTCTTGGCCTGCCTGATTTGGCTATCAGTTAGGGTATTCTCTACAATTTCTTCAGTGAAGCCTGAAGGTATATCATTTAAATCTTCGATCTTACTTTAGTTATATTCTCTTTGATATATAAAATGAAAAATATCTGAATTTTCTTATGTCTTTATTGACGAAGAAACTTCATTCTAGTTAGAATGCTTGTCAATTTTAAATTGTTTTAGCACAAATTGTTAGATTCTTCGAATGGATTTATCTACCTTGTATTCTTAGGATACATGTTAAAATATATTAAATGTATTACTTTATAATAGATTTTTATAAAAAATGTAAAAGTAGAACATTATTTTTAACACCAATATTACTTGGATGATTTTAATTGTTGTTGAAAAATTTAAAGTTAATTTTTATTTTTTTATATAAATTAATTACAAAAAAATATAATTAATGTTTTTTTAACAGTCTTTTTAAAGATACAAATTAGATAAATCCTTTTTAAATCATCTTTCTTTATCTATTTTTTTTTTCAAATGGTCTGCTTCTACCAAATTAATTAGTAACTACTTAATTAATAATGTGAGTTCTCTTTTTTGAGTACTTCTAGTAAAT